CTGTTGAATAGCTTTGTGACCTTGGAGGTGACTTCACATTCTCAAAGGGTTAGAATAGATGACTCTGGACAGCCTTTCTTTTTTTTTTAATGTAATATTTTATTTTCCCTCGATTACATGTAAAAACATTTTTAAACATTTGTTTAAATTTTTTTTTTCTAAGACAATTCCAAGGGACTCATGATAGAAAATGCTATCCACATCCAGAGAAAGAATTATGGAGTCTGAATGCAGATTGAAGCATACTATTTTCTCTCTCTTTTTTTTTTCCTTTCTCTTTCTTGTGGTTTTTCCTTTTGGTTCTGATCCTTCTTTCACAACATGATTAATGTACAGGTATAGCCTATATCAGATTACATGCCATCGAGGGGAAGGAGAAAAAAATTTGGAACTCAAAATCTTATAAAAGTGAATGTTGAAAACTAAAAATAAATTAAAAAAATAAGTCAATCTGAAAAAATAAAAAATTTAATTCAAAATTCTCTCCCTCTTTCTCCCCTCCACCCCCCCCAATAGAGAAGGAAAACAATTTGATATAGATTATACTTGTGCAGCCGGACACCCTTTCTAGCACTGAATTTATGATTGCTTGTCAGAAATGTTTTAGAAGGGATTCTTACTCTGGTCTCATTTAGACTTCAGAGATCTCTTCTGATTCTGTGATCTTTGGGAGAATGTGATCAGGAAATAGAAATAGCAACACTTGTTTCCAATGAAGAGCTTGAACTCTAAGGCCTCTCTTCCAGCTCAGATGTGAAAACACACACACACACACACACACACACACACACACGAGTATTATTAAGTAGTTTCTGCCCACATGGAGATCACACGCACACACACAAATAGTTATAGTACAATGTATTAAGTAATAAGTTAGTGCTATTTTTGTTCAAAGGCTAGGAAAAAAAACAATTTGGGTGAGTATGGAGTAGATGGAGAAGGATGAGCAGGGAAGCCTTCCTGCTGGAGGCTTTCCTTGAAAATGATCACTCCTCAAATTTTTTTAAAGAACTTTGCCTGGATCTTTTCCTTTCCCATTCTGTCTTATATCATATTAATTTGTGTCCCTCCCACCCCCACCTTTAGATCATAATCTCCTTAAGAAAAAAGAATTGCTTCATTTTGTAGTCTGTGTTTGTATCCCACGGCCTATCCTTGTGGCCTTGTAAATGAAATTAAAGTCGTTAAATTAAATGGAAGGAAGTGGCTTTTGAATTGTTGTAAGAGTCCAATAGCCGAGCTAGAGGGCATTCTGGGCGGGATCATAGAAAACCAAGGCACTGAGAAGATAAAGGGCCGTATTGTCGGTCTGAGCTTGGAGTTGCTGGAGGAAATGTTGGGAGATACAAATTTGCAGTAAAACGCAGAGGACCTGGAACATGCAAAAAGTCTGGACTTTATACAGTACGGGTAACCTTTGAAAGTTTTTTCGCCCTTAAATAAATAGGGTTGATATTCTCAAAAAAGAAGTTTCCATGATTTTTGGACAACCCCTCCCCCCCTTCCCCTCCTCCAGCTGCTATCGCAGAATCTTTTTACGTGTGTGTGCGTGTATAAAGTGGGGTGTAGGGGGGTGATGTGGTAGAGATCTTCTTGAAATTCCAAATAAAAACAGTCCAGGGATGAACTCTCTTTTCCAGGGTCCCCTGAGAGAAAAGCTCTGGGCTTGCTTCATCCCCACCCCCTCCACATTTTATTAAAGAGGCTGAGTTCTATGCTTGAGTCATTCTCAAGGCGTGGGAGCCTTAAATTGAGCGTGGAGACGCTTTTACGGAAAACTGTAGGTGCCCCGTGGTTCTCTGGGGAAAATTTCCCCCTACGCTTCAGTCTCGAGAAGGAGGGCATTACGTAAGAAATTCGAACTTGCTCTGAAGAGCAAGCGGTCAGCCCCAGGGGACAGAGTTGGGGTGGAGGTGGACTAGCTGCTGTGCTCTCCACCGCCCTCCTAGATCCTTCCTGGGAATGGTGAGTTATAATCCTCCGCAGCCAATTCTGGTACCGAAACAAACTTTAGAAGCAAAGCAAACTACTCCTGCCCCGCCTCGAAAACTTTTGGGAGCCACCTAAAAATTTCCTGCTTCCTGTTTTCTCATTTGCTTGGTTTGCCGGGCAAGACGGTCTCCAGGGAGTAGCTGCGGCAACTGTTGGCATTAGGGATTACAAACTGTGCTGTGTCTGCGGGTCCCCCGTGGCTCAGCTCGGTGGCCGATAGCAGAGCGCTGGATGCCCAAGGCACGCGCCCCGTGAGTACGAGGGAGCACTCGTCCCTTCTCCCCGTCCCGACAGAGTTGAACTTAGCAGCGGGCAGTGAGTGAGTCACTTACCAGCAGACCCGGAGGCAGCGAGGTTCACGGTCTAGACTTCTGCCACTGTTAGTGCAGCACTCTGAATCGGAACTTGGGAGTCTGGACTATACAAAGGCTTTTTTTCTGAGTTAAAATTGCTGCTACCTACCATAGAAGTACTTTTTTGGGGGACAGCTAGGTGGCGCAATGGCTAGCGCTCCGGTCTTAGAGTCAGGAGGGCCTGAGTTCAAATGTGCCTCCAGACACTTGACACTTACTAGCCGGGTGACCCTGGGCAAGTCACTTAACTCCGATTGCTTCACTCGAAAGAAAAAAAGTACTTGTTGATGGAATGAAATGCCTGTAAGAGCTTAATAAATGCTTTTTGTTCGTTCATTAGTCACTACTGATCATAGTCTAGATCAACAAAAAGGGCTAAGAATGAGAATAACTCACATTTGTATAAATTTATATAGACTACTAGCAGGGTTTCTTAACCTTTTTTTATTTGCCATGGACGACCCTTTTGGCAATGTGGTGAAGCCTTTGGAACCCTTTTCAGAATAGTTTTAAATGCCCAAAGTAAAATACATACCATCGCAGAAGAAAACAGTTATATTGAAATAGCTATGAAAATCGAGGTCATGGCCCCCATCCCCACGGATATGCTTAGTATGTAGTCCCAGGGTGTTCCTGGAAGGTTCTCAGTTACCTAAATGCCCTGAAAAAGAGAAGCAAAGCAAAGGAAACTTTTTATTTATGCTTGTATTTGTGTTCATCCTATGCCTAGCATCTGGTCCTTTTCTAAAAGCATTAATCATTTTCGAGAGAAAGGAAAAATATCTCTAAGGATACGTTCCAGACAAAGTAATTACAAATCACTGAAAGACTTGAGCCAGAGAACGTTGTATGCTAATAAAAATTATTTTGGTCATGCTAATGCTATCTTAAACACAAGAAGAATGTTAACAAAGGCTTTGATAAAAATAGAAATTTTTCATTTAAATGGAAAATGTAACGCTCCTTGAGGGTAGGGACTTTTTTTTTTAATAATTTTATCCCCTGTGCCTGACATATTTCCTAAAACATAATAGACTCTTAATGACTATTTCTTGATTGTTGTCCACTTTTCCCCCCAAAAAAATTCTTCCGTAAAATGGAAATCATCATGTAATATAAGTGATATAGGATAATGATACTTGTGCCAACTTCCTCACAGGGTTATTTGGCAAACTTTAAAGTGCTATATGAATGTGAGCCCAAGACTTTGAGTCAGTAACAGCTGAGTTCAAATGCAGCCTCAGACACTTGCTAGCTGTGTGACCTTGGGCAAGTCACTTAACCTCTCTGAACCTCAGTTTCCTTATTTGTAAATGGGGATAATAATAGCACCTACTTTCCAGGGTTGTTGAGAATCAAGTGAGGTAACATGTAAAGCACTTTGCAAAACTTAAAGCTCTATATAAATACTGGTTGTTGTTAGCACCTGTTTTTGAATTTGTCACAATCAATAGTACTCAAATGAATAAATGAAAAAGCATTTATTAACCCGTTATTATATATTTAAGTACTATGCCACTACAAAGGTAAAGACAATCCCAGTCCTAGAGGAGCTTATATTCTGGGGGCCAGTGGGTAATGGAATGTATTGAGTGTTGGAGTTAGGAAGACCTGAGTTTGAATCCTGCCTCAATTCTTGTTAGCTGTGTGACCCTAGGCAAGTCACTTAACCGCTTTCTGTCTCAGTTTCCTGAGAGATAAAAATGGTGACAAAAATTACTATCACCTTCACAGCATTGGGTAAGTCACTTCCTCAGATGTAAAATGGAAATAATAATAGTAATAGTGCAGTTATATTGCATTCAAGGTGAGAGCTGTCCAAAAGTAGAATAGATATCCTCTTAAGATGATTAAGTGAAGATATTAAAGCAACAGCAAGAACATCATGGCATGTTGTAGAGGGCATTCATTCATAGATTAGGTGACTTCTGAAGTCCCTTCTGACTCTGAGATTCTCAGATTCTCTGAGAACTATAATTTACTGTCAGTTTTTCAGGGAGGGAATGGAAGGGAAGAGGAGGAAGAAGGGGAAAGGAAGGAAAAAGAAAGGAAATGAGTGTTTAATAAGGTTCTACTATATGTGCTAAGAGCTTTACAACTATTATCTCATTTGTCCCTGGTGTGTGTTATTCAGTTTTTTTCCTTTCTATCAGTCAACAATTGAGTACTTGCTACATGCTAGTAATTTTAAGGTGTATCAAGAGACATAAGACAGTATTTTGTGCACAGTCCATTCTGGGTAAATGTGTACTAAGTGTGTGTATGTGTTTGTATATCCCAGAGGGTGGAGAGACCTTGGTCAAGATTTACTAGGTTAAGGAGGCCTTTGTTCTGGCATTGACATTGTTTCTTTGATGGAAGGTGAATTCCAAGTTCTTCTATTTCATGACCCACACCCAAGGAGTTGGCTTTTAAATAGTTTGCAGTTGTTTTAATAGTTGAGAGACTCAAAGTGAAGGGCTGTGAAGATTGTGTTAGTTTATGATTCCCTGAATTCCTGTGCATCTTTGAGGTCCCTCCAAGGACCCGCAAGGCCCCAGGAGAAGAGGAATCACGGGGCTTCAGAGTTAGTAATGACTGACAGCAGTAGTGGAGGGCAAAGAGTACCTCAGCCTATCTATCCAGTGTTGACTGAGTTCTTGGACCATGCAGGAACCAGAGCTGAGGAGCAGCGAAGGATAGAGCCATGATGTAGAAGACCAAACCCAGACTTTTTCAAACTTCGTTATTATGATTAGTTGTGCAGACTGTGGAGGTTTGGGAAGAGGAGTTCACTCTGTCATCTGCAAGAGCCTTCCCACTGTGGAATAGATTCACTGGTGACTAAAACCTTCCATTCTGGGAGATCGACTTCTATCACTGGGTAGTACGGTAAGTCCAGAGTATTCTGTACGTCCCTGGGGGAGATGGGAATTAATTAACCTGAGTTGTTGTGGGAGTGAGAATCAATACTAAGACTGATCAGTACTAATACTAATCTGATACTGAGAATCAGGTACTTAGGAGTGATGTTTTGACTGGTTATGGGCTCAGGTGTGAGTTCTTTGTTCTTATAGTGTTGTTTTTTTGTCTCATTGAATAAAATCTGTATGGTGTTTCTTTTTTTTCCCCTAGACAATGGGGTTAAGTGACTTGCCCAGGGTCACACAGCTAGTAAATGTTATGTGTCTGAGGCTGGATTTGAACTCAGGTCCTCCTGAATCCAGGGCTGGTGCTCTATCCACTGTGCCACCTAGCTGCCCCTGGTATTTCTGTGAGTTCACCTAAATGCTTCCATGTAAGTGGAGTGCCGTTTTACCTTTTCCTTAGAGACCTATTATACATCTCTATTTATATGTATTCCCGGCAGAAACCCTTGGAGGGTGCATGAATCAAAGAGAAAGGAATTTGTGAGACACAAATCTGGACTGGGTAAAAACCCAGAGTTAGGGTTCCATACTCAATTTTGGGTATCAGATGGGGAGGCCAAAGTCAAAGATTCCATGTGCTAATAAAATGAGGAAGTACTTTTAAAATTTACTTATATCTTGTTTTTGCATCACCTACATTTCCAATATATCTCTTTTTCCTTTTCCTCCCAGAGAACCATTCTTTAAAAGAAAGAATAAAAAAGAGAGGGGGAGAAAAAACCAGTTCAGCAAAATTAACTAACACAGCAACTACATGTTTATTTTTTCATCTACATTATTGTAGTCATTGTATGCATTGTTTTCCTGATTCTGCTTACGTGTTTCACATCATTTCATTCTGTATCAGTTCATTAAAGTCTTCCAGGGTTTCTCTGTTCTTCATATTCATAATTTCTTACAGCACAGGAATGTCCCATCATTTACTACTTATATAACCATTCTCTCAACTGATAGCTGTCTACTTTGTTTCCAGTTGTTTGTTGCTACAAGGGCTGTTGTAAATATGTATATCTTTGACCTTGTAGTATACGCCTAAGCAGTGGCATATGGATATGGACATTTTAGTCACGTTTAGATTATTGTAAATGGCTTGTCTTTCTACAACCCTTCCAATACCAACTTTCTGTATTTTGTCTTAGTTAATTTGCTGGCTGTGAGGTGAAACTTGGGGGTTTTATGATTTGCATTTTTCTTATTTCACTTGGCTGTTAATAGTTTGCAGTTCTTTTGAGAACTGTTTGTTTTCATGTCCTCAGATTACTTATCAGTTGAGAAATGGCTTTTAGTCTAATGTATTTGTGTTAGTTTCCTATATTGCTTGGGTATCAAGACCTTTGTCAGAGGTATTTGATACAAAGTTTTTTTCTTGATCCCTTCTTATCCTAGTTACATTAATTTTGTTCATGCAAAAGTTTATTGATTTCATGTAATATTATCTTTTTTACTTTTGTGATTTCCTCTTTTTGTTTGCTTAAGAGTTTACACATTAGTGGGGCAGCTAGGTGGCACTAGTGGATAGAGCACTGGCCCTGGATTCAGGAGGACCTGAGTTCAAATCCGGCCTCAGACCCGTAATACTTAACTGTGTGACCCTGGACAAGTCACTTAATCCCATTGCCTAGCAAAAAAAAAAAAAAAAAAAAATGAGAGTTTACACATTAACCATAGCTGTGAAAATATCTAGCTCTTTCCTAGTATGTGTGTGGTATGTCCTTTAATATTTAGGCCACATATTTATTTTCAGCTTATTGTGGTATATAATGGTACAGTGTGTTATAAATCTAATTTCTGCTAAGCTGCTTTCAAGTTTTGACTGCAGTTCTTGTCAAATAAGGAGTTCTTCCCTAAGTAATTTATGTCTGAAGTTTATTAAATTCTGGGTTATTAAGTTCAATTCTTTTTAATTCTTAAGAAATGATTCTACATTTCTATGTTTTTAAATCAGGCAGAATGATGTAATGGAAAGAGCTTGTATCAAAAGATCTGGGTACTGGTGCTGACTTTGACACCTTACTCAGTGACCACAGGACAAGACATGTAAACTTTTGGGCCTTGGTTTTCTCATCTGTAAGATGAAAATAAAACTCACACATAAAAAAGCAAATGTGTTTATTAGGCATTTAGTAGTGCCAGGTGCCCTGCTTAACACTGGGAATATAAATACGAGGAAGCGAGGCAGCCTCTGCCCTCAGGGAATTTCCATTCTAATAAGACTATTCCCTTTATGAAGGGCAATTGGAAGGGAAGGGTGTTGGGTGGAGGTGATGGCGAAGTGGCATAGAGGCTTTAGTCCAGGCAAGAACCAGTTTTTCAGAGTCCGAGATTCTGTTGGGAAAGGCGTGAGATTATGGTACCAGTGCCCCTACCCCATCGGACCTTTGTCCGATGGAAAATACTTTATATAAACCTTGAAGTGCTATGTAAGCGCAGGACAACATAACCTTAGTTGATAGTCTATGGACAAGGACAAAAAGAGAAAGGAGAGGAGAAATTTGGAGACTGCAGTCAGTCCCGTATTAAGTCCAATTTTCATCATCCCCAAACCTGGCCAGCTACTACCCCTTCTCATTTCTCCTTTGGCTATTTCATGCTCTCCAGAAGTACACTCTCTGTTTCCCCTCCCCCCACTTCTGTCACAAAAAGAAATGAAACTGATTCTAGAATTTTTTCCCTCATGACTCACTGAATCACTATGACAAATTGATTGTACCCTCCTTGTCTTCTAGATTATTTGAAGGTTGAGGGCTGCTACTTAATCCCCAAAGAATGCCCTTTATATGTTTGTAGTCATACTTTGGGAAGGGTAGCATGAGGGAGCTAAAGTTAAAGGGTCAGTATATTCTTTAAATCAGCAAATGCTTTTCTGGGACCCACTGTGAAGGTCTGAGTTATCAGGTTGTCATAGTGGGAGTTACGGGAATTTCTGTAAACAAGAAATTTCTGTAAAACTAAACTAGAGTGGGGGTTGAGCTGGCAAAAGAAGTTAAAAGTACTAAAAATAATGGAACTGGTTGTTGGAAAATCAAGGGAAATCAGATATTTTAATATGGAAAGACAATCTATATGATAATGGTGAAGAGAGCTGGAAGAACCCTTTTGTTTCCTGCCTAAGCAAGGCTGAGGGGAGATGCACAGCAGCGACTGATGTTGGGAAGGAGGTGAGTGGAGTTCTGAGCTAGGGAGGGACAGAAAGAAGCTTGCACACTTATTTTACTTCCTTATATGTTTGTAGAGGGTGGGAGTATGATGGACACAGCTTATGAATGGGAGTAAAATTGTCTTATAGAAGATCTATACCCTAACTGTCTTTTGAACATAGGTAAGCAAAGTTGTAAAATGGAAACTCCTCGAAGACAGAGTTTGACTTCAGGTTTGGTTTTTTTAGTTGGTATCCTCAGCACCTAGCATAGTGTCTTACACATAGAAAGCAAATAATAAAATGTTTGTTGAATTTAATTGAGGCTATACTGGGCCTCATCCAAGTACCCATTGCTGAAATCCCAAAAGGACCGGCCTTATTGCAGGCACCCTAAAAGTGCCAAATGTAGTATGAACTCAAATTGTTAGCATGAAAGTATTTAATAATTACACCAAAGTATTTAAGATTTATCTACAGTCATAGATCTAAAGTTGAAAGGAATCAAAGTGGCTTCAGATTTTACAGACATAGAAACTCAGGCCCAGGGAGGTTAAGTGAGTTATACAAGGTAGGCTCACACCAGGTGGTAAGCATCACAAGAGGAATCTGGGCTCACAGGCCCTGACTCTAGAGCTAGTGTTCTTTCCACTGTACCGTGTTGCCTCCTGGTGTATGATAAATCAATATTAAAATCAGAATTTTTATAAAAATTGTATGTTTCATTTTTTTAAACTAGATTATTTTAATGATTTTAAGCAACTAGATGGAATGGTGAATAGAGTGCTGAAATTGGAGTCAGAAAAATCTAAGTTCAGATCCTTCCTCAGACACAAATTGTGTGAGCTTTAAACTAAAATTTAGTGACTTAAACTCCCCCTGCCTCAGTTTACTCATGTGTAAAATAAGGATAATAATAGCACCTGCCTCTCAGGGTAGTAAGGATCAAATAAGATAACACATGTAAGCTGTTGTTCAGTCGTTGTCTGACTCATTATGATCTCGTTTGGGGTTTTCTTAGTTAAGATGCTAGAGTGATTTGCCATGTCTTTCAGCACATGTGAAGTAATTTGCAAATTTTAAAGCACTATGTTAATACTAGCTACTATTATTGTTTCTATTGCCACAGAGTTGCATTCCATCTGTCAAAAATAAAACATTTTCTGTTGTACTTGGGTTCATAGGATTTTGAAACTGGAAGGGACCTTAAAACTAATCTAATATAATCTCATTTTGCGAATGAGCAAGCACCCCACTTCTCAGAACCCTAACTTACTCAAGGTCATGTGCTTGGAACATCATGGAACATCTTAGACACTTGATAAATGCTTTTTGACTTGACTTAACATGTGACTGACATGTGACTCAGTATGTAATCTTTACTCTTCCTTTTGTAACCTCTGCATACGACAGTTGCTCTCACTAAGGGACTTAGATCCCATGGGGTAATCTAGCCTGATTAGCACTGAGGGAATAGAGTACTATATAGCTCTCATCACATATAGGTAGAGGAAATGAACTTATATATACAAATATGTGCATATGCATATGTATATGTATATGCATACATCATGTATAGTCATGTAAATGTTGGTGTAAATATATCCTCACATTTTGTGTATATAATTTTTTTAACCTGTCATTTTGTTAATTAGTTTGCACTTAAATTTTTCTCAAGGGTAGGGAGTCCTAACCATGTATATGTTTGTTCTTTGTGTGTGTGGTAATTGAGAAAAAAAAATTAAATGCTAAAAAAAAAAAATAGAAAATTTTTAACTTGGCTTCATTCTTCCCATTTTTGCCATGTAAGCCACCTTCCTTTCCATCAGCCTGCTATAAATTTTACAAATTTATCTTTGAATTGTAAATCTTTCCCTTCCTCTTTTGGCAGCCATAGAATCCAAAGGTATTTTTTTTTTCTGATCAAACTAAAAACTACTTAAGTCTTATGGAAATTCTATCTGGTGCTCAGTAGCCATTTTTAAATACTTCAGCCTGTACTCTGGGCATCTTTTTAAACTGTCTCTGAAGTATGATTGGCAGCAGACCCTATCAAACAAATCCTTGGATTTTTCCACTTAAAAGAAAATACTAAATTTCAGTTAGAGATTAGTGAAAATAAAGATGTAATTTCCCCCTCATCCAACTCCCTGGACCCCTTGAAATCTATCTATGGATCCTTTGGGGGTCTGTGAATCCCAGTTGAAGAACCTTCTTTGAGGGCATGGTTGTGAAAAGGAATCTACCCAGCTTCAACAGCCACATTCCAAAGTTTAAAGTCTAGCATCTGTTAAAGGTCCCATCATTGTCTCCTCATCTTTGAAAACTTTTATAGGAATGGGAAAAACCCAAAACATGATTTTTAGTAAAAACAATAATAATGAAAACCATGACTTCTGTTGGTTGTGAAAATTGATTTGCTCTTTGGTTCTAACTCATTGTGTGAGTAGGAGTACTGATTTAGACTTTACTGTGAAAACCTGCAAATAGATCATCTTTTAGAAAATATCATGTGATTAAAAAAACCAACCAGGAAATTTCTGAAAAAAAAATCAAGACTTTTTACTTTCAGTGAGTTTTAAATAGAGTTCCAGAGTTTCTTGCAAAGACTTTATTTCCTTCAAACTTAAGATGAGTAGCTCTTACGTGAATTTTTTTCTTCAGTTAGACATATGGGTAATAATAACAATAATGTGATTTTAGTAAATCCTCACCAATTTAGCTTGATTGTGGGAAAGGCTGCTTTAATTTACTGAAAAGTCCTCTTTTAGTATGAATGAAGTCATTACTTTCAAACACATTTAATGTTTTATTCAGAAAACATTCTGTGTGAATCTCTCAAGCCAAAAATACTGAGATTCTGACACATCTGATTTATTGATTATGAGCCAGTATACAGGGTATGCATAGTATTGTGTCATATATCAACATTTTCAATGTGAGTTGCAGTATATAGTATGTGTCTGTGGGTCCTGTGCCACCTACACACATTCAGAGTCAGCCTCTAATGATGTGTTAAATTTTGTTAAATTGCTTGGTGAGAATTTGAAATTCATTTTCCCCCTCTAGAAGCAGTGTTATCGAAAGAATGACTAGGTTTCCAGCCCAAAGAAGCCTATTTAACCCACATATAATATAGCTGGGCTTATGGGATCTTGTTAGAGCTGGAAGAGACATTAGAACCTACATAGTCCAACTCCATCATTTTACAAATTAGGAAGTTCAGGGAGGTGAACTTCCTAGTACCTATCAGAGAAGAAAGTGATTTGTACAAGGTTGCATAGCAACAGAGCTGGGATTCAAACCCATGTCTTTTGATGGCAACCAATATATTGTTCTTTCCACTTTATGACATTAGTCCTTCCATTGATTTCCTAATCTTATCCTTCATGCTGATAGGGAGGCAAACTTGAGTTCCTGAAAACAATGCCAATGGACTGCAAACCCTGGCAGGTCCTATCAATGAACAGGCTTTGAGTATGAGCCTAGGGACCAAATGTGGTCCAAAGATGAACCAACTATTTAGAGCTTCCTAACTCATCTGTAAAATGAGATGGGTTGAACTCGATCAGCAATTTCCAGTTTTTATCAGTCTCTATTTTCCTTGACTTAAAGAAAACTAATTTTTTTTTTAATTAACAGGTTTTATTTTCTGTTCTCCTCTTGCTCTCAGCACTGGAAAAAGAAAAAGAAAAACACAACCTTTGTGACAAATAGACATAGGTTAGCAAAGCAAATTCTTGTGTTGTTGGTCATGTCCAAATATGCATGTCTCATTCAGAGGGAGAAGGGAAATGATCTTAGAGGATTTGTCAACTTCCAGGATGTTCTGACAGGGAATGGAGGTCAGGTTTTTGTAGGGAGTAGCACCAGTGAGAATTCTGATGGTGACTAGAGCTAATGGGGGAAGGGGTGTAGTGAAAGCCATCCTCCTGTATATGTCTTCCTTAAGCCAGGGACTGCCTATCTAAAACAAGTAAACCATATTTTGTCATTCATTATAAAATTTAGAGGACCCATTCTGCCACGTCTCATGAGAAATGAATGACTTGCTGAAGCAAGTTAGTGGAAGAAGTTTGAATTAATACTGACAGCTCCTATTTCTTCATTCCTATAGCTTAGTGATTGATCTCAGCCTTTTGTGTTGGGTTGCCTCCCAACCCAAATAACAACTCCTATTTCTGTAATGCTCCAAGTTGTATTGAACATTTTTCTTACTATAATCTGGTGAGATACACAGTCCAAATATAATTAACAAGATTTTACAGGTGAGGAAACTGAGGTACAAAGAGGTTAAATGACTTCTACCTAGTAGAATGATCTCATACCTAGTAATTGGCAGACTGAAGACTCAAGTTCATCTAACTCAACATGTTATAGTGAACAGAGTGATGAACTTGGATGAAGAAGACCTAGTTCAAATTCTACCTCTGATACTTAGTGCCCCAGTGGGCAAGTAATTTAACTTGTTAAGCCTCACCTTCCTCATTTGTAAAATGAAGGAGTTGAGCTAGATCAATGAGTGCAAAATTATTTGATCATGCAAACCCTATCAGTACAATTTTTGAGTGCCCCATATATGTATATTTACTTATTTGTAAATATACATTTAAAAAAGGATGAGTTAAAGATGAAATATTTGATACTAGAGTCAACAGAGCACAGTTAGGTTTTATTGAGTGAGTCCCATGGTCAGACTTGCCCAATGGAGCACGGATTGCAGAGGAAAGAAATTTGAGGCAGGGAGACCAATTGGGAAGCTATTTCATAGTCCAGGCTTGAGTCAATGAAGGTCTGAATTAAGGTCTTGGGAGGTTTACAATGATGTTATGGAAGCAGAAGCAATAAGGTTTGGCAATTGATTGGATATGTGGTTTCAGAAGGATTGATTGAGGAACTGAGGATGATGCCATGGTTTCTGAACTTGGGTGACAGTAGAAGGATAGTGGTGTCCTCAATAGAAATAGGGATGTTTGGGAGAGGGGTGTAGGGTGGGGGGGGGATAATAAAATGAGATCTGCTGTGATCTCAGGGTCATCCATCACCTTTCAACTTAACCTATGAGACTCACTCTATTCTACTAGAAATAATAAAGGAGATGCTCTCAATCACTAGTCACTGCTAAAGGGTGCTTGCCCAAGCCAGGAGGTGATCTAGAGGGAAGGCTGTGGGTACACTTGGAGGTGGGGGAAAGGGTGTAACATAAAAAAAGTTTGAGAGATACAGTTTTTGGGTAATTAATAATTTTATTAATTATGCTAGTGGATAACTAATAAAAGGATCTTGGCATCCTTGAATGCCAAAGATTCCTCATGGAACCCACTCTCTTATATGTCCTTGGAAGAGTGGGTGTTCCTGAAAAGAATGAGTATTATAATGAGAGGTGGACCCCTTCTAATGAGGGGCTGGGGGGTGGGGGGGACATGACCCATGACTTTGATCACTCTCACTCCCAGACTACCCCCAGCCTCAGGCAATCTAGTCAAAGGATCTACCTCCTTTGTCCCCTCCCCCCCAAGCCGGAGTAGAATTCTATGGGCTTTCCCACTTGGGTGGTATCTGAACTAGATTGAGGAAAAAGTTAATTCAAGCTCATTATCAGTAATGTCCTTCTTATGCTGACTAGCCCCAGTAGAGAATGAGGAGATAGGAAGGGGATCTCTCCAATAATTGGTTATTTAATAATCATTTCTCTCAGGAGAGAGGGAATTTTACCTACGAAGTTATTAGTGCTCACTTGGTGACGGTTAGGTTACAGCCATCCTAAGATATTAATGCTAGTGGAGAAAGGAAAAGGTTGGGATTTTGCCCAGGGAGGGATCAGAGTGGGGGACTGTTAGGCTATAATAGTTGCAGGAGGTAGTGTGGTTGTGTTGGAGATGAGTCCTAGTATAGAGAGGGTGACCCATCTCCCACTCTTCTGTTGGTTAATCATATACCATTAGGGTCACTCTATTCTCCCTCCTTAGTGGCCAATAGTGTTTTCCTTTTGGAGCCCATGGACTAGATAATCTCTAAGGTCCCTTTCAGCTCAAAATCCATGGTCCTGACCAGGATCCACCTTTCTTTTGCTGATTCCTTTTCTCCCACTTACAAAAAACTCTTATCTGCTCTGGTTACCAATCATTTCCCTGGTACTTTCCCTTAAAACTTGTATGATGGATATACTTCTGAGTAATAATTTAAAAAAAAGTCCAGATAACTCATTAATGCAATGTATGCTTAGTTTCACATCCTTTGGAAACTTAAAATGGGCTTGAGGTTCTGTATTTAAATAGATGAGTGTATGTTTTGGTTTCATCTTATTTCATCTTATTTGCTGGTATCGCTTTTTTGTAAGCAGAGTGAACATTTAATTTGCCACGTCTCAATAGAAAAGGGAGAGAGCTAAATATTGATTCTAGGCAATAGCTGTCTTAGGATGGAATTCTAAGATTGGATTCCAGAGCTGATAGGGAGGGACCTTCTTTACTTCAAACCTCTTGATATGAGATTTTTCTCTCCTTCTCCCCTTTAAAAAAACTAAAAAAAAAAACCAAACAAACAAACAACAAAACCCAAACCTTACAGAAACCTCCATGTTGGAAAGATTCGCAAGACTGAAAGATGCCATTAAAGATGACCTTGAGAGCAGCATGGTTTCTTCTTGAAAAGAGCTAAGTCCATATAGCCCCAATACAGCCTTGCCTTGGAATGACAGTGTGTAAGACATCGGCTCAAATCATTCATCAGATCGAAGAGGAATTAGATGAAGATGAAAAGGAGGTGATTCTCTTCCTATGCCGTGATCTTGCCCCAGACTTAGTCACAAAGTTGGACTTACGGGATCTTCTCTGCACCTTGAATGAGAAAGGGAAGCTATCTCCTGCTGGTCTGGCGGAATTGCTGTATAGAGTAAGGAGGTTTGACCTGCTGAAGAAGATAATGAAAACAGACAGAGCCTCTGTGGAAGCCAGCCTGGTCAAGTGTCCACGACTGGTTTCTGACTATAGGTAAACATCCCTAATTTTTTTTTTTTTTTTTTTGGCCAGGCAGTGGGGTTATGTGTCTTGACCAGGGTCACACAGCTAGTGTCAAGTGTCTGAGGCCAGGTTTGAACTCAGGTCGTTCTGATTCCATCTCTATCCACTGGGCCCCAATTCATCCCTAATTCTTAAGGAAGTGTTGGTTGGTCAGTAATTTGGGGATGGGGGTGGATGAAAAGGGAAGGTGGTTGCTACCAAATGGGAGACAGAGTCATAATGAAGGTGAAATATTGTTAATAATAGTGCCTCAAAAAATAAGACTCATAAAGTGTTTTTCTCACAACAAGCCTAAAAAGTATGTTGTGAAAGTATTATTCTCATTTAACAGAGGAGAGAATTAAGGTTAATGACTTCCCCACAGTCATAGAGTCAGTAAATGTCAGAACTAGAGTTTGAATCCAGATCTCCTGACTCCTAGTTCAAGGTCAAGGTTCTTTTCTTGTCTTCCCCATTACTATACACATACACATATATCTACACACATAAATTCATAGATGTATAAACACATACATTTTTATGTACTTATGATACGTTTCCCCTAATAGAATGAGGACAAGGATTGTTTTATTTTTGTATTTATATAGTAGTTGCCTAATAAATGCCTGCTTCCTTTATACATATTATAATAATGAATACTATAATGTATAATAATAAATATTATACTTCTTTCTATGCATCCTCTCCCCAGTCTTCTCCATTCCAAACAAAAGGGGCAATGTAGTTCTAACTGCTGCTGCACACAGTGTCTTAAAAGTTATTTATTTAGTTATAAACACTTGCAGTTAAATTAAAGGGACAGATGGTTTCTACTTGAATGATGAGATGGAAGGAGACAGGAGTGAGTAAGAGTTAGTAATTACTGCCAAATTCTTGAGAGCTCCCTCTGGAGAATCCTCTGGATCCATCAGTAAGATTTTCTGTATCAAGTCACAGCAATTTTGAGGCCCCAGAGATGAATTTCTAGGATGTACTCTAGATCTCTGAATAGTTTTCCTAACCTTTTCTTTATCCTCATTAGTCACTGAATACAATTATTGTTTTAATTTCAGCCCAGCCCTAATCAGCTATTGGGAAGTGAATTTCCTCTTATTTTAGCCCATTGACCAATCAACAAGCAGTTTAAAAGTAACTGTTATTTGATGGACACTAGCTTAGGTGCTAGGGATTTCTAGATAAAAAATGAAAACAGTACCTGATCTCAAGGAGCTTACATTCTACTTAAGGGGGAGGGGAGGAATACAATGCTCACAAGTAAGTAAATGCAAACTAGTAGGAAATAAATACAAAGTGGGAGCATTAATAAATAACTAGGAGCTATTGGAAAAGGCCTTTGGAAGGAAGTGGCCTTTGAACTCCTGAGGGGAAGTAGGTATTCAAAGAGCAGTGTGCTAGGAGGAAGAATATTCTAGGCATTTGGGGGCAAATCTATGGAGGCAGGAGGTGGAATGTTATTTATGAGCAAGAGCAAATTCCAATATAGATCGATATAGAGTTCATGTGGAGGAATAATCTGTAATGTGCATTGTTGTGAAGATTAGATGAGATATTTGTAAAGCACTTAGCACAGTACCTGACACATATTAGGTACTTAATAAATGCTTGTTCTCCCCTCCCCCCTTTCCCTATAAGCCTAGAAAGATAAACTGGTGCCAGATTGTTAAGGGCTTTAAATGTTAAGGGCCAAAAAGAAATATGCATTTTATTTAGTGGCAGTAGGGAGCCAGTGAAACTTCTTGACCAGGAGAATGACATGATCAGAGTTATGCTTTAGGAGTATCTGTTTGCCAGCTGTGTGAAGGATAGAGCAGAGAGAAGACCCGGAGGCAGAGAAGTCAACTGGAACGCTGCCACAATAGTGTAGGCAAAAGGTGATAAGAGCCTATCAAGACATGTGAGTGGAAAGAGAATGATGACAGAGGTGAGAAATGCTGATGAGCTAGGAAATTCCAGATAACCACTTACTTGTCAAAGATGGTGAAGAGGGAATTTCTGCATTGGGTGGGACTGTTGGACTAGACCTCTAAGGTCCCCTTTTACTCTATGATTCTAACGTTCTGTGATACCTTGGGCCAGCATTTGTGTACTTGGTGTGTCCTATGAAGGACCACCAGAACTGTCTTCAGAGTATAATATGTAAGTATAATATGTTTCCAGGGATAAACTATTGAGTTGTTGGGAAAAAGTAGAATACAACTTGCCTTTAAGAGGCAAGATCCTCTTGGATCAGGTGGTTATGTTAGTTAGAATTTCTTTCTTATGTCCTCCTGCATTTTTTCTAAGTCACCCAACTGACTTTATTAGGCAAAATGGAATTGAAGATTCTATGGAACACCACAGAACTTTGCTTTAAATAGCAAATCCTATTAGCACTAGATTCTAATGGATAGGTTAGGGTATTTCTCTTTCTCACGTTTCACTACCACCATTGCCACCACCATCCCCCCACCCCACCAGCTGCAGCCCTACCATTACCATGGTCAACGGAGAAGGGGCTCTATCCTAGTTAGAGAAAAACCCAATATAGGGCAAACTGAATCTCTAAGATAGGACTCCCTGGAGCCCAGATGTTATTTTGTCTAATGAAATAATAGCTTTGATGTTCCAGGACAGGACAAGGTAACACAACAGAGTGATTGGTACTAGTACCCAATATGTGCTGGTGTTCTTTAGGGAAATAGGATATGATTATATTTCTATCAGGAATTTGATTCTGATAGACTATTGCTCAGATATGTCAAGATCATGTTGAACTCTCTTCGTAACATCCAAGGTGTTAGTGACATGGATCCTTGAATAATAATTTTAATGCCACCTTTAAAGAGAAAGGATGGGGATTCCTTGGGGGAATTTTTTTCTTTCTCCTTGTGGAAATTAGCTATGCTATATTAATAGGCAAAGAAGGGGAACACCAAGAAGGAAGAAACCATTAAAGAGATTGTGATTTCATCCTTTTGCCTTTTGAGTTCTGTTAAGGCAGGGATTTTGTGTGTCTTGGACCCCTTTCGGAAGTCTGGTATAGCCTATGGACTCTTTCTCAGAATAATATTTTCAAATAATTGAAAGAAATGCTAACTTTCGGTTAGAGGTTCATGAAAATAAAGATGTAATTTTTCCCCATTCAATTTCATGGATCCCTTGAAAATTATTTATGAACCTCATAGGGGGTCCATGGACCCCAGGTTAAGAACCTCTGCCCTGAGGCTTTTCTTAGGAGTGATCTAAGGCTCTTGGTACTGACAAGTGTACCTGTGGGGCAGGTACTACCATATAGCTGACTGTTAGCATAAGGCAGGTGTACCTAGGACTTTTGTTTGGTCAGGCTGGGACTAGGTCAGTTATTTGGACTGGTGGGCTCTGATTTCATTTTTTCTGGAGTAGGGAAGCTTCTGATTTCACTGAAGAAAATTCTCTCTCTGGTTTTCAGGGTGCTGATGACACAACTTAGTGAAGATATGGACAAATCAGAAGTGACTTCCTTCGGTTTTCTCCTAAGAGATTACATGGGAGGAGGGAAGACACACAAAAACAAGGTGACTTCCCCCCTCCACACACATTATTAAGAACCTATATTACAGCAAGCTGGGTGCTCCTATATGGGAGGGGTAGGGCTTGAGAAAAAGGGGTGGGAGGGAGAGTTTGAGCACATGTGAGAGAAAATGACAATGGGAATGAAAGGGGAAGGGAAAGAATGAGATGAAGGAGGGAATGTGGGAGGGAAGGAGATAGAAAAGAAGGAAGAAAAGGAAAAAGAGAGACAGAGAGAGATAAAAACTCACCTGTCATCACCATCATTACCAGGATTGCCTAAGAGACTTCCCTTTCCTTCAGCCTTAGTAGCATTTGTGAGAAGCCAGCTATGATACTAAGATAATAAGTGGGAAAGATAGAGGCAGCTGTCCAGATCTGGACATGGGGGTTCAGTCAGGAATCTCTGTGGCAAGTAGTTGTCATAGGCACTTTTAGACAACTTGCAGGAAAGAAAGTTGAGACGATATTTGTGGAGAAAAATGTGTATGAAAGGAAGGTGGGTACAAGCAGAAGAAAACAAGGAGAGAGAGAGGAAAGGCCAGACCTATAGTGTAGTAGGGCCCGTAGGGAACACTTTGGTGCTTCTCTAAGGTACCCTGAAAGTTTACTCTTATTTCTGAGAACTTCATGGATTTCTTTTCCCTTTTCAGTCAAAACAGTTTTTCTTTTCTGACTCATCACATCAGCTGGGGAGAAGGGGAACCAAGTTTGGCTCGTGCTGAGTAGACAGAAGCAAAAGGCAGTAACGTTGCCTCCTCGGACTTTTGCCAGCTTCTCTTTTCATTTCTGAACTGTGCAAGGACGTTATGGAAACATTTTAGGGAGAGAACGAGCAGTGAGGTTGGAGAGAGAAAAGGGATGAAGTTCCATGAGTATTGATTATATTATAACTATAAATATAACTATATATGTAGTTGTATTATAACTATAATATAGTGTTAAGAACATAACACATTTATACAGTACTTCTAGGTTGATAAAACACTTTACTTAGACAGTCCTGAAAGGCAGGTAGTATAAGTATTATAATTCTATTTCTACTGAAGCATCTTTCCAGTTAGCTAAGTTCACAGCTTCATGTCCTGACTCCTCACTCTTGTCCACCTCTCCATAACCGACAGGTGCCAAGTCTTGCCCATTCCATCTGTACCACATCTCTCAATCCTGTCTCAAAGACTCTACCCTAGTTAAGACCTGCATTACCTTGAAGTAGCATTCTAACAGGTCAGCTTAGGGTCACTCCTCTTAATAACCTTGAGTTTTATTTCATATTTAAAGTCCACTACAATCTGGTTCTAGCCTGCCTTTCTGGATTTATTTCACATTGCTCCTTACACACTCTGCTTTCTAGCCAAACTATATTACTTGCTGTGAGCCACACATGATATTCCATCTACTGTCTCTGTGCCTGATATTACTCAGGCAATATCCTGTGCCTGAAATGCTCTTCCTTGTCACCTCCATCCTTGTTCCATTCAAAACTCAACTACTTCAGGTATCTTTAGGCAACACCTCCTTCAAGAGGTGTTCCCTCTTGAAGTCTTCCTTCAAGAAGACTTTTCTGATTCCCTCCTCCCTAGTTATTAGTGTCCCCTTTCTCAAAATTTCTTTGTATTGACTATTTATATAATTTTACATTTACTCATCTATATTCATATTGTATTTGACTGGATTTTAATTGTCCTGGTTGCTCTGACTTTCCATCTGAAGATATAGATGTAAAAAGTCTAGTCTTAGACCATGGACCTCAGTTGGCTTTCTAGAATGCCATCTTCTTGGAAGCTGTCCAAGGAATCTTTGCTTTTCGCTATGGGATCTTCACTTTTCACTACTTTTAAACTTCTCTGTTCATTGAAACTCAACCAAGGTCCAAAACCTCCTGTACCCTTTCTGGTCCTGAAGCCTGATTGGTTCCTGAGATTGAGAAATCTGTTCCCATCCTCCTTTCTATTGGCACTGTGCCTAGAGACACATTTCTGGCATCTGATGACTTAATTCCACTTCCTGCTATTACATATTCCCAGATTACAAAAATGCTTTGCCATGTTTCATTTACATCAGAAAAAAATTTTTTTCAGGAAAAGACATTTAGAAATCAACCTAAAAGGAAATGATTCAGTCTTAAATCAGGAGATATTTAAACTTTTTAATCTAGTCTTGAATTAAAATTATCCATTCTCAGTTTGGACATCCTCATCCTCTCTAGGCCAGAAGCCTGTAGCTTTAACCACCTCAGGTTCATACCAAGCCAGTCAGATTCTCTCTCTATTTCTACTTAATCAGTAACTAACTTCCTTCCAAGCCCCATGAGAAGGGCAAACCAGTGTTCCATGAGAATATAGCACTGGCACCAAAATATACAAAGACAAAGCCAATAAGCAAGGAAAAGACTGAAATCTAGAGTATGACACTAGATTGCTGTTAAAAATGAGCCAATCAATTAATAAACACTAATTAAGCACCTACTATGTGCCAGACATGGTGTTAAGCACTGGCAATACAAAAAGAAACAAAAGACAGGTCCTGCCCTTGAGGAGCTTACAATATAGTGGAAGAGAGACTACATGTAAACAATATAAGCAAATTAGAATAGGATAAATAGGAAATAATTAAGGGAGAGAAGATACTAGAATTAGGAGAGTTTGGGGAAGACTTTCAATAGAAGATGGGATTTTAGTTGTGACTTAAGGGAAGCCAGGGAGGTCAGTAGGTGGAACGTAGGAGGAAGAGTGTTCCAGGGATGGGGGACAGCCAGAGAAAATGCCTGGAGTTGAGAGGTGGAGTGTCTTACTCATGGAACAGCCAGGAGGTCATTGTCACTGGATCAAAGAATATATATTGGGGAGAAAAGTGTAAGAAGACTGGAAAGACAGAAAGTGGTTGAGGTATGAAGAGCTTTGAATGTTAAATAAAGCATTTTGTATTTGATCCTGGAGGTGGTTTATTGAGTGGGGTGACATGGTCAGACTGCACTTTACAAAAATTACTTTAGGGACTGAATGGAGGATAGATTGGAGAGAGGGAGAGATTTGAGGCAGGCATACCCACCGGCAAACCAGTAATTAAGGCATGAGGTGTTGAGGGCCTACACTAGAGTGGTGGCAGTGTCAGAGGAAAAGGGGGCACGTTGGAGAGATGGCGCAAAGGGGAAATTGATAAGTCTTGGCAACAGCTTGGATGGGGTGGTTGAGAGATAATGAAACATCTAGGATCACTCCTAGGTTTTAAGCCTGAGGGACTTTGAGGGGTCAAGATGGGGAGAAGAGAGAGTGGCTACTGCAGGGGAGGTGATGGGAGAGAACTAAAGAGTGATGGTATTGTTGATCATGGTGAGATTGAACAGGAGTGTTTTGTAAAGGAAGGTAGAAGATGTGATGAACCTGGACCAAAGAAGTCATTTGGGGGTAATTTACCTACATTCAAAATCAGTAGACATTTGTGTTCTGTGTTCTCACCTTGGTGTTTTCAGCTCCTTGTCCCCTCCAGGTTATTGAAGTTCATTATTTCCCCGATGGAATGTAAGCTGCTTGAGAGCAGGAACTCTTACATTTTGGTCTTTTTTTATCCTAGTGCTTGGAGCTTAGGGGTTTAATAAATACTTATTGACTAATTCCTTCTGTCATCCATAACAGTTCAGTGCCAGTCATGGTGACTAAAACATAAGGCAGTCAACTGGAAAGTGAAACTAGAAACTATCTATGCATAGGAAGTGGCTTTAGATGATGTGTCCCCTCTCAAAGGGAAACTACTACTCTTAGGAAGATCTGAATTTTGCTGGTGGTGCTGACATTCAGCTTTATACGTGGAACTGGGCAGCTAGGTGCAGTAGTGGATAGTCTGGAAGGTGTGAGTTCAAATTCTGTCTCGGACACTGGGTGACCCTAGCCGAAGTCAGTTAACCTGTCTGAGCCTCAGTTTCCTTTCCTCATCTGTAAAATGAGTACATTAATGGTACCTACTACCCAGAGCTTTTTGGAAGATCAAAAGAGATAACATATGTGGAAACACTTTGCAAACTGCTGTTTAAATGGTGGCTTTTGCTATAGTTGTATATAGTAATTTCATTTTTTTTTTTTGGCCTGGCTTGAATCCTGAAGTTTTTTGGGTACTCTGATGATAGCTGTTAACTGAATGAATCAGTAGAAGTTAGAGACCATGCTCTGTCCTTCTTGGCAGACAATTATTTTGGACCCTTTTAAAAAATCAATTCTGTCACTAATACTGTTCTGCTTGCTAGGAATTGTTTCTCCATTACCATCTCCCCTCATTTTTAGGGGCAGTCCCTAGAGCTTTCAAGTAGAGATCTAATCAGATTTATCAGTAAAAGGGAGAAACTGCAGAGGTTTCTCAGACTGCTGCTCATGCAGATTTTACAAGTTACTTCCCAGAGGTCCTGGTGTTAGCAGCCCCAGGGAGTAGATTGACCTTTAACTGTGCACACAGGAGGGGATTTCTGACTCCAAAGAATTTTGAATTAAAGACCATGACAGGCTAGTTTGTGTTTGTGAGATGACCTTTGTAGGTTTCTTGTTCTTGACTCTACTGAGGGAATAAACAGAGACCCCTCTAATTTAGCTGAGAGTAAATCATCTACCCTGTGGTTTACTCTTATAGGTTAATAGTCAATTCTCCTGACTCTTTTGCCCTTATTGGTTATTATTATTTATTATTACTGTTGTTATTATTTTTTGTCTTTTTTTTTTTAAGAGTTTCTTAGATGTTGTTATCGACCTAGAGAAGGTAAACTTGATTGCTCCTGACAAGTTAGATTTACTGGAAAAATGTCTGAAGAACATTCACAGGATAGATCTGAAGAAAAAAATTCAGAAATATAAGCAGTCAGGTAAGAAGAATTTTGACTTCTCACCTCAAGGATGACTCAGTCCAAAGAAATGCTTGTTCCTAGTAGATATTCAATGAACATTTGTCAAGCCCAGAAGCAACTTTGTCCTTCTGTTCTTAATTGCTCAACCTTCAGCTCATCAGCCATATAAACAGATCTCTTTGTCTTTTCATTTGATAGATTACTTATTTGACTTAGTGTTTGAGTTCAGTTAGGTGGTTAAGGTTATTTGTAGTTTTAAAAATGACTGTTTTGATAACTAGCATTATAATTTCCAAAAGTGATTTTTCCCTAAGACTTAAGAACTTTGAGCAGTACAATGATCAACTATGCTTCCAGAGGACAAGGAATAAAGCATGCTGCACACCCCCGACATAGAAGTGATGGATTCAGGGTTTAGAATGGAACATGTATTTTTTTTTTTTTTTGATAAGGCCAGTGTAAGAAGTTATTTTGCTTGAATATGCATATTTGTTGCAAGGGTTTTGTTGTTCTTTTGTTTGTTTTATACTGGAAGGGAATGGAGAAAGAGAAAATAGATTTTTGTTCACTGAAAACATTTAAATAAAAAAGTGGTTTCCCTTGGAAAGAACCATCAGTTGTTAAATTTTTTAGTGGTCTAAAGTCCCACTTATTTTCTTATGAGATCCAGCAAAAATACCCTGTGATGTCAGATTCCTAAAATGTGCTGGTCCCTGGTTCCTTTTTGTATTTGGGGGTTTTCTGTTGCTTGATAATATAGTATAGGACAGGTAATTTTAGGTTTGATAGCCACTTGCAAATGAGTCTTAGAATTTCTTTTTCTATTTCCAGTTTTGGGAGCAAACTATATGAATGAAATCCAGGCTTCCCTTCCAAGTGTAGGCCTGATGAATTCTGTTTATGCCTTGGAGGTAAGTCTGTTTTTTGGTGGGTTTTTTTTGTGAAGCAACTGGGGTTAAGTGACTTTCCCAGAGTCACATTGTTATGTGTTATAACAGTGATTGTTATGTGTCTGAGGTTGGATTTGAACTCAGGTTCTTCTGACTCTGGGGCCAAGGCTCTATCTACTGCGCCACCTAGCTGCCCCCTTGGAAAGAAGTCTGTAACAAACCTATAGGCCTTCATAATAATTTATATTTGGTACCAGGCCTAACTTAGGCACTTCTGTGATTCAGGTTTGGAGCTGAAATGTAATGAGATACTCACAAACCATAAAATGCAACTCCAAAACTTTTGACTTAGAATAATTAAAAAGAATACAGTTCTTTTTAAAAATGTAATGTTTTCAATGAACAAAAATCTATTTTCCTTCTCTCCCAGCTTCACTCCATTGAGAAAAAAAAAGAAAAAAGAAAAACAAAACCAAGACCCTTGTAACAAAAAGAAAGCTATTATTATTTTACATGGAATTAAGAGAGACAGTGTCTACAATAGATAGTACCCCTGTACTCTGCTTTGATTAGAGAACAATCAACAGGCGTTATTAAGGTCTTATTATGTGCAAAGCACTATGGGGAGACTACATCTGAAGTATTCTGTTCAGTTCTAGGTATCATGTTTTAGGATCCAGAGTGCAGAGGGTCCCCCAGAATGGTGAAGGGGATTTTAGTTCATGCCATAAGAGGATCAGTTGAAAGAAACAGAGATGTTTTATCAAGAAAACTTAGAAAGGGCAGGATGTCTGTCTTCATTCAAGCAGGAAAGACTGCCATGTGGAAAACTAGACTTATCTTGCTTGGCTCCAGAAGTCAAAACTAGGAAAAGGTAGAAGATGTAAGAGGCAAATTTAGGCTTGAGGCCACAAGGATGAACTTCTTACTAATTAGAGCTCTTCACAAAATGGAATGGGCTGCCTTGGAGGTAAAGGTCTTTGAGCAGCAGCTCAATGTTCACTTGTCAAGTATGTTTTGTAAAAGAGATTCCTGTTCAGTCAGTCAACAAGCATTTATTAAGCATTTACTAGCTGCCAACCCTAAATCATTATCAACAATGAGCATTTAACATGTACCAGGCAGTATTCTAAACTCTGGAGATACAAAGAAAGCCAAAAATATCATCTCTGCCCTCAAGGAGCTCACATTCTAATGGAGGAGACAGCATGCAAAAAAATTATACATACACACAGTGAACATGGAAGGACATCTCAAAAGGAAGGCTAGTGACTAGCAGTGTTGAGGTGGGGGAGACCCAGAAAAGCCTCCTGGGGAAGTTAGTATTTGAGCTGTTTTTGGAAGGAAGGAGGAGGTTGAGGTAGAAGAAAGCATTCCAGGCATGAGAGATATCTGTGAAAAGGCAGAAAAAAAATAAGAGGTGGGACATTGTTTGCAAGGAATCCAAGAAATCTAATGTCACTGTATTTGAGAATACATGGAAGGAAGTTAGGTGTAAGGAGACCAGAATGGAAGGAAGGGGCCAGCTCTTCAGAGCTTTAAAAGCCAGAAGATTTTACATTGGATTCTGGAAGTAATACGGAGTCATTGGAATTTATTCGGGGGGAGGGTGATGTGATTTCAGTGGTTTTCTTTTTCTCTCTTTCTTTCCTTTTTTCTTTTCTTTCCTTCTTTCTTCCTTTCTTTTTTTATTTTTAGGCAATTGGGGTTAAGTGATTTGCCCAAGGTCACACAGCTAGTGTCAAGTGTTTGGTCTGAGGCCAGATTTGAACTCAGGTCCTCCTAACTTCAGAGCAGGTGCTCTATTCACTGCACCACCTAGCTGCCCCTCTTTCTTCCTTCCTTAAAAATGTTTCTAAGTATTAGCTAATTAACAAAGGGCTTTTCTTTTCATTGTGGAGAAATAAAAAGAAAAGCACTTTGTTAATTAGCTAATGCAAAAATACTTCTAAGTATTAGATAATTAGCAAAAGACTTTTTTTATTTCTCCATAATTATCAGTGGGGATTTTGTGCTAGTATATAGTTTAAGCCAAAATCTACCTTCTCTAGTTAATCTCTTACCCTAAGAAGTTACTTTTAATTTATACACACATCCACTCCTAAACCAGTCTTAGGTTTGGAGGGAGAATTTGGAACAAAGTACAGTTTCATGGCTAAATAATAAACTCTTTTGTAAAAAGAAAAAAAAACCTCAAGTGGAACATTAATTATTAAACATTAACATAAACAGTTGTGAGGTTAGTTGTCTCTACTCTCACTCTCACCATTCCCAGTCCTTTGAACAGAGACTGGCACACAGTTGCTTAATAAATGCTTATTGATTGACTGATTGATTATTCTTGCTCAGGCTCTCATAACTTCTTTCCTGGACTATTAGGATAAGTACTACCTGGTCTTTCTACTTCTAATCTACCACCTTTTCAGTCCATCCTTCCCACTGCTGTCCTAGTAATCTTCCTAACACAAATTGGACCATAGTGTCCTCCTGCTCAAGAATCCTTAGTGGCTCCCTATTGTCTAGTGAGCAAAATGTAAATTTCTTATCCTGGTATTTAATGGCCCTCATAGTTTGAGTCCAACCTTGTTTTACTTTCCTTATCTTCACACATCACATTCCAAACAAAACAGGATATTTTCCGTCTCTGGCTCTCATTCTATCCTTTCCCAAGAACTCTACCACTTATGTGCTTTTGTTCATACTGTGTGCCCCATGCCTGGAACTCGTTGCCCCCAAATTTCTGCCTGTTAAAAGCTTCTCCCTTCAAGGCCTAGCTACCTCTCTTATGTACTTACCACATTCTCTTCTATCGTAATTATTTATTTATCCATCAAACCATTAAACTTCCCCTCTACCACCATACCATACTTTAATGTATTAGTTTCTGTTTTTTCATCTTGTACCCCAGTACCTGCCTAGGGCCTCAGACCTTGTAGGGTGCTTAATTAAGGTCTCATTGATAGAATTGTGAGGCTTCCCTTCTTGTACTTCCTTCCCTAGAGAAGTAGTCTCGATGAAATGTGTTGACATGTGGTAGGGCAACTGGGAAGGAGAACAAAATATAGCATGACCTTGTTCTTTCTTTCAAGCTCAAGAATGGAATGAGTAAGGAGGAAAGACCGATCTTTGGACAGCATGGAATTTCAAGTAAGGTCATCTTTCTTTCACTTTCGAAAGTAAAAACCTTACATAGCTATCCTTGGAATTTCCACAGTCATTCCTTTTCTCCAGCTGTGTATTCCATCAGTAGTCAGATTGGGGCCCCTTTAAAGCTCATAATAAGCAAACTGATTATGATTTCTAATGGCTTAATCTAAGGTATGATAGAATTATCTGAATTTAAGTAACACCAAGGCTAATCCATTATCTTCATTACTTTGACTGGAGATATAAATTTTTTTATAAAGGGAGAAATAAGATAAAAATTATGATCTGGCCACAGTGGATTTAGTCATGATAAATAGCATGGTCTGCATACCAAACAGTGATTATAGATCATTGAACAGGAGGAAGTAAACTTCCATTGTAACATGTCTCATTATTATATTGATTTAATGTAAGTGGAAAAAGCCAAATCCCAAAGTGGATTTGGAGTCAGAAAACAAAATGGGTTCAAATCCAGGCTCTTCCTCTTATTACCAGTGTACCCTTGGTCAAATCACATAACTTCTGAGGGCTTCAGTTTCTTCATTTCTAAAATGAGAGGCATATGCTGGATGTGATCTCTGAGGTTTCTTCCAACTATTAAACACTATCATTCTATAAACATGCCTTCTCTTCCTCAGTTCACCAGAAGCTCTTGTTTCTGTAGATTTTTTGAAGGGGGGAGGCCTGGTTTATAGAGTGATATATATGACACATATTTCATATATAGTCTCACATGTAAGCACACTCACACATAAGCATGCACATGCAGTAAAATCCTGATAAGACACAGCCTACAAAAGACGTATGACCCTCCCCCTTCTACCATTATCAGAATTATAAAGGGGTTCTACTCTAACAGAAGTATAGTGTGAACCACAGAAATATAATTCAGGAAATTTAGCAATTTCACTAACTTGCATATGTCATTGAGATTTTGTGGCTTTACCTTATCATGCCTAAAATAGGTATAATTCAATTATCAATATATAATTCAATTCAAATAGGCATTGTAGTATATTGTAGAGAAAGGCACTGAGTTTGGAATCAAGATCCTGCCTCTTATTCTTATGCTACCATTATCTAGCTGTGTTATCACAGGCAAGACAATATCAGTAGGCAAGGGAAATTCAAAGCAGAACATAAGCACATAGGGCAATTTTGTTACAACCTTGTTAAATTAAGAAAAAAAGGGAGAAAGAAACCTGTCTGGGCCTTGTCTTTCTCTTATCTTCAATGTAAGAGGTGTACACTAGATTTCGGCTCCCCACATCACTGACATTTTGTGATTCCATTAATGTTTTCTCTCTGATCCTTCTCGACAGTACTGTGATCCAGGGGCTCCTCATTAGCTGTGAAGAAAAAAAAAATGGCCTTCAGACATGGAAGTTGCAGAGAGGGAAGGGAGAGGTGTTGAGCAAATTTATCTTGCTTTATTTAGCTGTGGGATTGGCATTTCTACTTTGACTTTCTTTCAAGGGGCCATCTGTTGCCATTTCCTTCCCAGATTTCTGTTTTTTAGCATAGAAATGTACAACCTGAGCTCTCTGGCTCCAGAGTAAACTGAATGTTCATTTAATTCAGTGAGCATTTATAAAGTGCCTACTGTGTGCAAGACATAACTGGGGATAAAAAAGACAGAGATGAAAAAAAAAAAAAGTGTGTGCTTTCAAAGAGCTGTTCTTTACTGGAAAAGCAAAGAGCAAAGAAGCATTAAAGTACATAAAGTAGACAGGGAGAAAACCAGGAGGTAGCCTTTGGGAATTTTGCCATCATGTGAATAGGCTCCATATTCCTATAGCTTTAATAGTAAATATTCATATTGCTACAGCATTCCCCCCCCCTTTTTTTTTTTGGTGAGGCAGTTGGGGTTAAGTGACTGCCCAGAATCACACAGCTAGTAAGTGTCAAGTGTCCGAGGTCGCATTTGAACTCAGGTCCTCCTGACTCTAGGGCCAGTGTGGTAGTTTTAAGTTTATCAAAAACGCTTTCCTCTCACCATCCCTGTTAGATGGGTACCTAGACAAATATTATTATCCCCTTAAAAGGGGATAATAATACTACATCATCATCATCATCATCACCATCATCACCATCATCATCGTTTACTGAGCTAAAGAAATGGAAGCTCAGAAAGATAAAGTGACTTGCTCAGAGTCAGGCAACTTGCCAGGGTCAAAGGTAGGATTGGAACCCAGGTCCTTCCCAACTGCGGACTACAGTAGTTTTTCCTCCTTTCTTCTCACATTAACTTTTTAAAAAATATTTTATTTTTTTCCCAATTACATGTAAAAACAGTTTTAACATGCTTTTTTTTCATATTTGGAGTTCCAAATTCTCTCCCTCCTTTTCCCCTCCCAATTGAGAAGCCAAGCAATTTGACATGGGTTATACATCACATTAACATTTGAACACTTTTCTTTTCTCCCAACAGAAGCAGTTAAAACATCCATTCAAGAATCTGAAAAATCCTCGCCTCAGGTACAGATTCAGTGATCTGATTTGATGTTTTTGTCTTTCCTCAAGATATTTTCTCCCATTTTAAGACAAAATATTGAATTATTGGCAAATGCTTCTAAATTAATGTATTGTTTGTTACAAGGATAGCGGCAGCAGGAAGAGAACTTAGCAGCCTAATAGTATTATTTTGGCTAATGCTCCTCTTGAGAGAAGAGGACTTGATAACCATAGGAAAGAGAAGAATGTGCTCTTATTTTGGAAGAAATTAAAATGGACTGAGTTAGCAGCTTGGATAACTGGGAAAAGTTAAAATTATCCTTTATCCCTTCTCAACAAGGTGACTGCATTACACCTGAGTAGAAGTGGGCGGGGGTGGGGGTGGGGCTGGTTTAGTTCTCGCTGCTGTGTCTTGTCAGTCTAATTTCTTGATGAGATGCTGCTCAAAGAGGTACTGATGGAAGCCAGAGAGCTTCCCCCCCTTTCTTGGGAGAAGGGATTACTTATATAAGCCCTGAAAGAATGCCTTATTGTGGCTGGTCAGGAAATGCAGCGACTCCTTTCTCTCTGGTTCAAAAGATATCTGGGGATTAAAACATAAGCCAGAATAGAAAGTACTTCTTGGGATGATGTAGTAGCTAAAAACGTCAAAAAACCAAAAGAAAACTAAAAGTAGAAGTAGAGTCCTTATCTTGTAATCATTTCCCTTAACAGAAATAGCATCAATGGAAAGAAATTTCCAGATTCCTCCAACCTCAGACCTGATTGGCTACTCTATATCAGAGTCTACAGAAAGGATTAGAACTAGCTGAAAAGGGGATTTTAAGGGGAAGCAAATTAGAAGGAGACATGGCATATGGTTGGGCCTGGAAGGGACAGAGTAATATTCAGAATCTTTCTTAACCCATTTTTCCCCTTTTCTAATAGGTGACTAGTGAGGAATACAGGCTAAAGAGTCAACCACTGGGAATCTGTTTAATAATTGATTGCACTGGCAATAATTCCGGTACGTATCGGCCTTTTTGAATTCATTGACGTCCCCCAAGTAAACGGAATTCCTTAAGCTTTTACCCAATGCTGCATATTATCATCTTTCCATTGTACCAGAGCTAAACAAAACCGTGACATGGGCCATAGCATTTGGGGAGATTGTTGAACTTTTTTTCTTCTTCTTTAGAGAGTATGAAACAGGTAGAAATGATTTCTGTTCCAGTAGAAGGAGTTTCTAAAAAATGACTTTATGGCAGTAGGGGCTGTGAGATACTAAGTTGTTATTCAGTGAAATATTTTCTGGAGATATTCGGAGAGTAGAATAAGAGAGATCTCCTTTGGATTCATTGGATACAATCTAGCTAAGGATGATGGTCTTTATGTTCCTTCACCTCTACGCCTTGGGGTTAATCTGATTTTTGAGTGCCTACACAGTTGTAATCTCACATCAGCCACCCATATTTGGGTCTGGATTGGTTTTTCAGTTGAAATTCTATGTTTGACTCAAACAGCGTCATTGCTGAGACAACCAAGGAAGGTCAGGAAGCCAGTCCATAAGGGAGGCAAAAGGATGTTTATTCTTTTATCTATTTAGAGAGAGGGAGTAGTCATTCTATGTCATTCAGTTCTCTAAACCTTGGACATATTCTTTGGATATTTAAGAACTATTTTTCACAGTCGCTTTAAAATTTATCCTGGAGAGTTTCCAGAAAAGGCATTCTTAAGAAGTTAAATAAGCACACATCAGGCAATCTTAGATTAAGTGCCCCTCCCTGCCCCCATTTTTTTTTTAGGTGTCCTATTTTTTTTTCTTTTGGTTCAGGGAAATGTGACCATACAAAGACTCTCTCTCTCTCTCTCTCTCTTCCCCCCCCTTTCCCTTTCTCTCTGTCACTCTTTCTCTCTTCTCTATTTCACTCTCTCTTTCCCTCTCTTCCCTTTCCTCTCCTTTTCTCTTTTCTCTGCTCTATCTTCTCCCTCTCTGTTCTTTCTCTCTTGTCTCTTCTCTTCCCTTTCTCCTCCTTTCTCTGACTATGAAAACCCCAATAACAGCTCTAAGATGCTTAAATGAATCTCCTAATAGAGGTAAAAGGAGATGTGGGCACTGTTGTCCTTCAGCTGATCCAGAGAGTTGCCACAACTTTTTTTTTTAAACATAGTTCTCCTGTTTGATTCATTCATCATCAGGCACATTGATGAATCATTCATTGTACTTAGAGCTTTGTTGGGCATTTCCCTTGGAGAATCCCACAGACCCAATGTCTGCTCTTTGTAGGAATGCACAGTCCAAGATTCTCAGTGGCGGAACATCCTGTTCTTTGTAAACATCTGAATTTTCCTCATTCTTGGCTTATCTGATTTGAATTCCAGAGTCACTACTTAATGAATTTTCATAGCTCTGTTTGGGAAATAGCATCTGTGTACAAAATATCTCTTAATGTTTGAATATAAATATGCAACCTGAAATAGATAAGAAATGATAGGTACTGGGAGAATGCTGTAAAAAATTTTTAAGAATAAGAAGGAATACCTGGGTCCTACTCCCTGCCCCTTTTACAGATGATCCCCTTTCTTCCATTCTTTCATGCTTTTATTCTTTCTCCACATATCTATTGGATGTCTTTTTGTATGCAAGACATTGTGCTAGGCATTTGTGGAGAATTCAGAGGAAATGAAGTGGTCCTTGCCCTTAATGAGTCTGTAACATAGTAAGGAAGATGACATGTACACAAATAAGTATAAGATGGCATCTGGTCAGTGTCATAAGGGAGTTGCTGTAATTTAAAGGAGGGAGAAATCATGATTGGCCAGGGTGGGGGAGTGATTAGGGATGACTTCATGAATGAAAGTGTCTTTTGAGTTAGACTTTATAGGATCTCAGTAGCACTTTGACAGGTGAACCATGAGGGGTTGAGGATTTATGGAAGAAAGAACAGCATGAATAAAGAGGCAAAGGAGAGAAAGCATGGATTGTGTTCAAGCAGTAGTATCTAGTTCAGTTTATTTATAGTATTGGATAAACGTAGGGAAGGTAGTGGCAAATAAGGCTGGAAAGGCAGTTTGGGACCAGATCTCAGAGGGCTTTACTTGCTATAATAAAAGGTTGGATTTTATTCAGTAGGGAGCTATTGACAAGAAGTAAGAGTAATCACTGTGATTAATTGCTTTAATGTTAATTTGGTAGTTGGGTATACATAGAGTTACCTAGATAAGTCATCAGCTTTTGTGTGACATGGTTTCAGGACAGCTAGGTGTTGCAGTGCATAGAACTCTGGGCCTGGAGTGGGGAAGACCTGAGTTCAAATCCAGCCTCAGGCACTTACTAGCTGTGTGACCCTGGGCAAGTCACCTAACCCTGTGTGCCTAAGTTCCTCGCCTGTACAAAGGAACTGGAGAAGGAAATGGCAAACCACTCCAGTATCTTTGCAAAGAAAATCCCAAATGGGGTCATGAAGAGTTGGAAACAACTGAATCACACCAACATATCAAAGAACTAGATATTTGGTTTGAGATGGTAGGAAATACCCTGTGACACAAGTGATTATCTCTGGGGTTTGAAACGAGGCCCAAACTCTTTTTCAGCCTCCTGAGTAAAAGATGATCCCTGCAGGTTTAGAAGAATGGCTTTCCTTTTCATTTCTCTCCACACTTTTCTTTGAAACTTGCAAAATAAAAATTGCAAGTATGCTTTTTACCTGGACTAGGGTTCAGATTTGCCAACTTGCTTTTAGAACTTTCCACATAAGAGACACTTGCTAAGCAGAGCTCTCTCCACCAATATCCCATTAGAACTCATGGAAAGCTAAAAATAGGCAGTAGAGAAGTCCTGTGAGCGGGGCCCACTTGAGCCTAGCTGCATATCCTTCATTGTTATTTCAAGCTGAATCAGTAACATTTACCTGGCCTAACATTGGAAGATGCAGACTCAGCACAATGACATTTAGTAGTCTTGGCCTCTGCTCTTTTGTCTAGGCTGACAGGCTGCAAATGAAATTTGGGATGATAGATGTGTGGGTCCCTGAGATGGAACAGTAACCGTATGTTTTTTATTGGCTTGGGTTGCAAAACACTGGGTTGGGCTTTCCTGTTTTCCAGTCTTGGGAACTCCTCCAAAAAAAAGATGTATTTTGCAATGTAATGGAAAGAGCACTGATTTTGGAATCAGAAGACCTGGGTTTAAATCCTGGATCTGTTGTGGACTAGCTGTGGGATCTCAGGCAAGTTCCTTCACTTCATGGGTCCACAGGATTTAGAGATGAAAGGGATTATCAAGTCCACTTCTGTCATTTCACCTCTGAGGAAAACATACCCAAAGAGTTCAAATGTCTTTGCCCAAGGCATATGGGTAGTAAACAGCAGAGCTAACTCTAAACCCAGAACCTTTTCCACTATACCCTGTTTCTTCATCTGTAAAATTGAGATAGTAATAATTATGCTATCAACTTTCCAGATTTGTTGTGAAGATTAAATAAGATGATATATGGAAAACACTATAACCTGCTCAACTCATTTCAACCTGAGTGTAAAAAGGACAAGTAGGGGAGCACCATGAGTTTTTTGTCTTCTTCTCACTTTCTGATCAATATAACTGAACAAACATTTATTAAGCACCAACTATATACAAGGCACTAGGATACAAATAGACAAAGAAAATCCTTGGTCTCAATGAACTTGTTCTTTTGTGGGGCAACAATATATAAGTATTGTGAGTTTAAATTCTGTCTCAGACACTTACTGGCTGAGTGACCCTGGGCAGTTGATTTAACTTCTCTCTGCTTCAGCTTCCTGAGCTGTAAAATTTAAGGGGAATGGTCCTGATGGCCTTGAAGGTCCCCCCCCCCCCACTCTAAATATGTGCTCCTATGATTGAAGGAAGACAGGGCTTCTGAGATGTGGACATGAAGAGAGAGTCTATTCCACAGGTAACAGATGGCTTGTATGAACATATAGAAGCAATCAATATGAGCTATGACTATTACGAGCTTCAGGAAATAGGCAATAATCTGGTTTGGCTTGAGTAAAGAGTTCATGAAGGCCAGTAGTATGAAATAAGGCTGCACAGGTAAGTGAGAGCCAGACTGTGGAGGGTTGTTGTTCAGTGAGGCTGATATTCATTTTCAGTCATGTCTGACTTTTCATGACCCCATTTGGGGTTTTCTTGGTAAAGATACTGGAGTGGTTTTACATTTCCTTCTCCAGCTTATTTTACAGATGAGGAAACCGAGGCAAAGAGGGTTAAGTGACTTGCCCAGGGTCACACAGCTAGTAAGCGTCTGAGGCCAGATTGGAACTCAGGAAGATGAGTTTTCCTGACTCCAAGCACTTTGCTCTATCCATTGTGTCGCTTAGCTGCCCCATGTCAGGCTAAGCAGTCTTTATTTTATTCTGTAAGTAATGTGGAGCTATTAAAGATTTTTGATCAGGTGAAGTAACATGTTGAGACTAGGGCCTTTGGAAGGCTATTTTGGCAGCCTGCAGCAGAGTGAGGTTGGATTGGAGAGCAGAGAGACCCGGGACAGGGAGACCAATTAGGAGGCAAAATTAGTAAGGCAAAGTGGTAAGTACTTGGTAGATAATGGAATAAATATATGTGTATATATCTAAACCATATTGCACATTTATATATTATATGTGCATGTGCATATATTATATATCTATGTAGTAATATAGTACATGTTATTATATGATGAATATATTTGTATATGTTATATATGTATGTATCTAAAACATTACACCTTTGTATATTATAGGTGCCTGTGCATATATTATATATTTATACAATAACGTCACACGTTACTATATGATGACTATATGAATATGTATGTTATGTATATATATCTAAAACATTATACCTTTATATATTATATGTGCCTGTGCATATATTATATATTTATACAATAACGTCATGTTACTATATGATGACTATATGAATATGTATGTTATATATGTATATCTAAAACATCATACCTTTATATTTTATATATGCATGAGCATATATTATATACCTATATAGTA